CATCGCCCTTCCCTCACCGCCCTTCACCGCCCTCAGCGCTGCTCCCCGCCCCGCCTACCCCGAACCGCACAGGGCGCTGCTGGCCGGAACGGTGTGTGGTTCTCGGCGTTCCCGGACTCCGGTGCGCCGTTCCCGGTTCCGCCATGGCACGGAGGAGGCGCGTCCCGCCGGGCCGGTGCCCTCCCGCAGGTAGGGGCCGGGATGGCTCCGGGGGCAGTGTGAGGGCTCTCCCGCCGCTCCGTCCCGGACAGACGGCGCTCCTCCGCGGCGAGGAGCGGCCGTGAGGGAGCGGGGGTGGCTGAGGCGGGTCCGTGATGCGCGGCCCACTCGGCCCGGCAGGTCCCGACCAGACCCGTCTCTGGCGCGCTCGGTGTGCGGGAGCAGGGCTGCGCCCCTCGGGGATCGGGAGAGACGGGGACAGAAATGGGCGTCCTTCTGTAGTGAAATACCTGTTTAGGGTGCCAGCCCTATTCCTCACCTCCTGTCGTAACGTGAAAATCTTCCTTTCCCCCCTCTGATGGCGCTCTGAGGGAGCCTTCGAGCACAGCCGCCCGCTCCCGCCGCCGCGCTGCCCGTGCGAGGCTTGTGTGGGGTTAGCAGCGGGTTGTGAGGGAGTTGTAGCGAGTGTTTGAGCGCACGCCGGGTTTTTTGAGGAGCCTGTAGAGGCGTACAGGGTGAGAGCAGCTGCTGGGCCAGCCCGAGAGCTGTGCGGAGCACACGAGTGCGTGCGCTGTGTCCCGCCTGTCCTGGGGCACAGCGAGGCTGCTGCAGGCTCACCTGCAGAGCGGAGGGACAGCCCTTAGAGCGGAGGGACAGCCGCTGCAGGGACAGCCCTTAGAGCGGAGGGACAGCCCTTAGAGCGGAGGGACAGCCGCTGCAGGGACAGCCCTTAGAGCTGAGGGACACTCGCCACACACACTGAGCCAGCTGGATTGCCCCTGGTGTAAGAGGAACACTTACTGTCTGAAGAGCACAGCCCTGGCTTGTGTGTCTCACTGTATCCCTAAGATGTGTTTTGCTTTCTTGAAAGTATTTTTTGTTCCTTTTGGGGGTTTTAAGCATACTTTCACATGAATTTATGATATAAGTAGTTTTTTCCGGCTCGCTGGTGTCTAGCCCCTTGCTGGATGCCTGTGCTGTGGCAGGGACGGCTGGGCTGTGCTGAAAGGCCTTTGCAGCCCTGCAGTCAGTGACCTGGGGCGGGTTCTGGCCGTCCTGAATCTCCGTGACAGGGAACTGCAACTTGCAGTCTTGCCAGTCTGCAAGTCAGTTGTGGTGAGGGGTGTCTGTGACTGCAGCGGGGGCAGCTCTGGCAGAGGGGAGGGTGGCAGGAGGAAGTGATTTGAACCATTCATGTAGTGAACAAGGTGGTTCCAGTGGACACCTTTACCCTGACAGGGATTCAGCTGAGCTCAGGGCTTTAGTTTTCAGTTGGCTTTATTTAATCTGGATGTGTTGAGTTTGGCTTTGTGTTGTGGGGGTTTTGTTTTTTGGTTTGGGGTTTGGGGTTTGGGGTTTTTTTATTTGGTAGGAGGGTATAAAGGGGGATGTTCCTCCTTACTTTCTTTTTTACTTTAAAAATACATGTTGTTCAAATATGGAAAATAGTAAAGATTTAGGCCCTTAACTGTTAGATTACACGGCTAACAGGGCACTTATAAATACCCCAAAATTGAACTCTGTATTAAAACTCTGGCATAGCTTCCCATTGCTTTGAAAAACAAATGACAAAACAGCTATGTAGTACATCCCAGAATTTAAAATATCCTCCTGAAGAGGGAGAAAGTGTTTCTTTCAAGAGAATAATTTAGAGAACTTTGTTCAGAATTGAATTTTCACAAATGCCTCAGAACTTAAATTGTTACTCTTAGGTTGCCTGTAGCTCAATTAGTGCTAATTGGTTTTGTGATTGGCAGATATCTTAATAAAATATAATTAAACATGTTGGAACACAAGTAGTATGCAGCTGGTTCTTATTTGCATTATTTATTCTAGAATACCTTGAACTAATCATGAAATCTTTATTGCTATTAGTGATATTGTTCCAAAACCTGAAAGTGTTCAGATGTTGGTTTGGTTTTCTTTTTTATATTTAAAATACAAATCTCACATGTAAGAGTGTCTGGGGAAGAACGCATATAACACAGTGATTTAGTATAGTTAGCAGTGACAGAAACCCCTCTGATTTCTTGATTTTGGTATCTGGCAGTTGATTCAAGTCTGCCATGACACAGAACTCTGAAGCCTTTACTGGATCTCTTGGTCTGCTCCTGTGTATGCGTGTGTACAAGTGAAGCGTGGAAATAAATACTGGCAGGTGATTTCTGGTTAACAGTTATCTGGGGTATAAGTATTTTGTTATCCAAGAGTATGTAATTTTGTAGATTTTTTACTTAAATTGTACTTTCTTCTTGCAGTTAAAGCTGGAGGTATGAGAGTGTCTAAAAAGCAAGAAAATGGACGTGTTGAAAAAACCGCTAAACCTCCTGGAAAAGAAAAGTCAAGGTACTCTGCAGGGCCTGCTCCCCTCTGCCCCATAGCTCAAGTTCGTAGGTAATGGCCTTTGAACACAAAGAAAACTCCTTGACTCTCGGAGTTTAATTCTAAAATTAACTTGTGCAAAATGTAGATAAAAGGTGACTTTTGAAATAAGTATCAACTTAAAAAAAACCCAAACAAACAACAAAACAAGTTCAAAACCCGAGGACAGTGCCTTGCAATGAAAGGCAAAGGCTGCGTCTCATCTTTATTGTCATGTGCTATGGATCAGAAATTAAAACAAAGTGTTGCCTACCTATGCCTAATAAAGAAGTGGTCAAACAGTTTCCAGTGAAATCAGAATGAATTTCAGGCTGTCCACATTCTGAAGGAAATTAAATCTACATTGCCCACCCCTGACAAAGAGTCTGTTATGTCCTGTATAGGCTGTAGCCCATATTTCAGTCTGAAATGTAATTTGGCTTTCTCTGTTTCCTACTTCATAAGGGTAATCAAGCTGTTTTGCCCCAAAAATAAAGGCATGCTTCTACTTTTCAGTAAAGTAGCAGTGATGGGTTGATGTCATCATTAAAACAAGTATTTCTTACAGCTTTTTCAAACACAGACTGAACATTTCTCTAAATTATATGCACTTTTCTTAAATGTCTCTTACAAAAGGTTAAGTTGACCAATATAGGGATATGAGGGTATAATTTGAATGACTTTTGATGTTCCTGAAGTTTTGACTAATTGTTTGGGGTTTTTTCTGGAATTAGCAGCTTTTTATTTTCACTTACTGCCAGTTGTCTGAGTGTAATTTTGCTGCTGTCTTTCATAGTTGTAGTTACCTGATGGCATAAACAGATCTTGAATAACTTGTATCTGTCAGTGTCGTAAACTGCTGATTGCTGAGTTGCAATGTCGGTAGGAAATGTCTTGCCTGATCCACAGAATCATTAACTTAACTAAAGCAGTCTCTGCTTTTTCAAGAGTCACACTGTAGTATCTGGTTTTCATAATGATTTTTCTCTTCTCCATTTTAAGCTACAGAGGTGCCAGTGGATATAATGGTATCATCAGAAGAATGTGCAATCCAAAGTGCTGTTGTTCAGCTAGATTATTTCATATCCACAGGTTGTTTATTTGTGGAATACTGGTAACATGGTGGTCTTCATTAGAATATGGAGAAGTTAATGGGATAATCTTGTGAAAAAAGTTCTTGCTTGACAGATAACTGCTGTGAAAGTAAATGCTGCCTAAAAGCAGAGGGTGAATTTTTTTCATGGGTCTTGGTTGGAATCAAGAAAATTACAAAATTGGCTTTTGTAGTTCAGGATTAGTGCTCATCTTCTGTGAAGCTACTCCACAGTGTACAAAAAAATCCTTTTTGAAATATTTGATGATATTTCACGTACAGATTTTCAAATAAAACAGCCTG